GTTATGTCTCTCTCTCTCCCCAAGAAGCCAGTAACTAATATATTTAATAATCATTATAAATTACCATATTGTTTGAATAATTACAGCATTACGGACGTCAGCGAACTGGTAAGCGACGCGACTTGCGTACGATAATCGATATCGACTCGCGGCGCGGACCTCGCGGAGAGACGCTTCCTTGCGAGGAGAGAGAGAGAGTTTCGAATATTGATACAGTCCGTTTTCGACGATCGACGGGTTAACGTCCCTCGCGCGAGTCGTCAGGAGTATTCTTCAATTTCCTTCTGGCGAGCCGAGGCCTACCGCGGACATCCAGCCTACGTACGCTGCCTACACAATAAGAGAGGCGTTGTTGCGAGTCAGCCGACCAGTGGAAGCGAGTGCGCGGCAAGAGCGAGCCCGCTATCGTGTGCCCTCGGTTTGCGGGTTAGAGTAGGCGTACAAGCGACCATACTGTAAGTACCAGATCTAGTACCTGGCTTCTCTCTCTATACCGCTCTCTCCCTTTTTGCGTTAACTAAGCCGCGCGTTTACGCTCGCCTTTTCTTTTGTCGCTTCCACGTTCGAACGGTGCGCGCCGATTCGCTGTCGCCAGTGTGCACAACTCACAACAGAGCGGGTGCTTGCGCGACCTTCACCGCGTAGCGCGTGCGCAGTTCCGTTCGCTTCACTGTCAAACTATTGCGAGTTTGTTGCGTTGCGATTAATATTGTTTATATCGACGCGTTTCGATACTATGTATTCCTTTGTTGCTAATTAAAATTTATACGCCTCTACTTTCAATTATATTCGAGTGCTTATTTCCCACCGACTCCCTGTTCCTTGAATTGCAATTGTGTATGCGACTGTACACGCGCGAATCTCTCTCTTTGGCCGTCGCGCATCTTCACGCGTAGCCTACGACACTCTCCGCGGGCCAAGCTTTCTGACCGAAAAGGAGGCAACTGAGCTGCTGGACCCAGGACACCCGGAGCAGGAGCACCGTGCTGCTCTGGAGAGCAACCTAATTTATTTCCCGCGACTTATATATTATATAACTGTTCCTGTCCAGGCGAAGCTGAGCAGAAACCCCGTTATAATACATAAGATGACAATATTTAACACTGAATTTGATTTTAAAAAATGTCTTCGACTAATGCAAGTTCTACGTTGTAAAATTCTATATATATTGTAACGGGGTGGGTACCGTTTAATTAATTTTATCCGCGTAATCGTATTGAAAAACGCACGTAATTACCTATGTTCAATACAGAAGTCGGAGAGCAAGAGGGAATAGGTGTCGGCCAACCAACTATCTACGGATACGAAATAAACACGTCGAAAGTACTGGTTAATATCACAGACCAAAACTCTTTATTACTTCTGAATGTTACATTACATTCGGCTCGCGTGTAATTGTTTAGCAATTATATCACGGTCGCGAAATTAAGCTGACCAGCTTACCTTTTTATTTCAGCTCTCGCACGGATTGCAAGGGGGGAAGGGGGATCCCGTACAGGACGCTGTGTCTTTGTGCACTGTCCGATTGTCGATTGCGGTGTCTTTCGCTCGCAGTTTCGCCCTCGATGACGAAACTCACCACTCACGCACACACTCGTACACACTCAGTTCCGTCAACTATCTACCCTCGATCCTCGTAGCTGATCTGTCTTCACGCTCCCAGGACCACTCGGAACGACGTCAGAAGGTTATGCGGCACGGCTTTGCGATCGGTAGTTATTCTGATATGCGGTTCTCCGTATCAGTAGATAGTTCTGCACTTTTGGCCAAGCGTGTCGATGGCTAATCCCTCACTGGTTCATTTTCAATCGCGCGCGTTCCGCCTCGTCGCGTGCCGAATTCCCTCATTACGTTTCCCGTCTCCCGGTAGGTGCTGCCCCCGCGGGCAGCCACTAGGTTAGGCTATTAGCGCTAATATGACGTTTACCGTCACAATATATAATATGTATGAGCTATGTACTGTGAAATTTCAATAAAAGTTCTTTTTGATTGAATGTTGTTCATCGTGTGTTAATCTATGCTGAAGTTTAAGAAATTTATTTTTATTATCATCAAGATAAAGTGTTATTTTTGGTTACGGCTTAAGGTATGCATTTAAGAATTATTGTAGATTATTATGTTGTGTACTACTTCCACGATACTTCTAAATGATTAGACACGTAGTTTTGCTAATTGAAAGATTGTTCAATAATTTCTTTAAAAAATATGTTTAAATTATCTAAAAACCGTATGACAAAAGTCAAAGGGTATCTCCCCATAATGTCCAAACTAAAATGTCCAAGCCAAAATGTCCACAGTTATTTATTGTCCAAAATAAAAATATGTATTTCATTAGTTTTTTGCTTTCGATTGTTTTCCCGATAGCGTTTTTTTCATTCACCATAACCTTTCATATCTTACATGTATTAACATTTGTGTACACTCTCACTCATGATTTTTCAAAATTTTCGTTGAACCTCGACAATGGCATATCGTACATTAGAAATAATTAAGAAAGGGTCTTCTACTTATGGACACATTGACGGTTTCTTATACTCTGCATCGACTTCCAAAGGTGATGTAAAATATTGGAAGTGTCGATATCGAGGTCAATGCGCCGCGCGTTTGACTACCGTCAGCACGGGTCGCAGTGTTTTGATTCGGAGAGGTGGGTCGGCAAACTCTCACACTCATGAACCTAATCCCGAAGAAGTCGAATCTGTGCGCATTATGGGAAATATTAAGGTACCACTCTATATTTTTCTACATTGAATAGAAATAATTTTAGCTGATATAACAGCGTTCGGCTATAAGTGACCGTGCTCGTCCTCCTTCTGCTATAACGCGAGAAGCACAGGATTGTAATGAAGCTGTGCAAGCTCGTTTACCTGACATTGGCAACATTAAAAAAACTATACAGCGCGAACGTTTACTGCATCTACCGTCTAATCCCACTACCATAGAAGACATAAAAGGTATAAGAGTCAACATATCTTTTTACATACCATCTCCTGCAGCTATACATTTATTATAAAGTATAACATTTAAGATATACCTGAAACTTTTACAAAAACGCTCGTTGGAGATACTTTCCTGATGTATGACTCTCATACAGACGAGGATTACAATTCGGACAGAATATTAGTGTTCGCAACGCGCGAAAATTTACGATTGCTGTTCAGCTCAACAATTTGGTTCCTAGATGGTACGTTCGACACTGTACCATCGATTTTCTTCCAGCTTTTTACTATAATGGGTTCAGTTACCCAAACTTACAAAGGCACTGAACGTAAAATCGCTATACCATTAGTCTACGCACTCTTGGCAAATAAAAAAGAAATAGCATACTCCAAAGTCATAGAAGTTACTCTCTCCGCTGCTGAAGAGGCCGGTATACGAATACGTCATCCTCAGATTGTAATGACTGATTTCGAGCTGGCGATAATTAACGCTGTGAAAAATCATTTCGGTGAAAATATAATTCGACTGTGCTTCTTTCATCTTCGTCAAAGCATATACCGGAAAATACAATCTGAAGGTCTACAGCAACAGTACGGCGATCCGAATGACAATAGTATTCGAGAAGCTGCGCATTCCATGTGTGCCTTAGCCTACGTGCCCCCAGACAATGTGCCAGAGATATTCGACCTCTTTCAAAATGAAATGCCAGAAGAGTTTATTCCAATAGCTACATACTTTGAAATTAATTACGTCCGAGGTATTCGAGCAATTGGCCGGAGAAAAGCAGTAAGAGTTCGGTACGCGCCAGCCCTATGGAATCAGTACAACTCTGTTCTTCAAGGAGTTGCGCGGACAAATAATGCTTCCGAGGGCTGGCATAACCGCTTCCAAATATTAGTTGGTCGCCGTCATCCGAGCCTCTACAGTTTTCTTACGGAGATCCAGAAAGAACAGGCTGACGTTGAGTATATGTCGCGGGAAATAAGTTTGGGTAAAAAAGTGAAAAAATTGCCTAAAAGCAGCCAACTTCGAGCCGAAGAACGTATTGCCGCCGTCGTTGCCGCATATCAAAGTTATGTCGACGAAGAAAATGAATTGGAATATCTCAAAATAATTGGTCACCATCTTAATACGTGAATAAAATTTGGACATATTTGACATATCAATTGTGGACATTTGACTTGTGGACATTATTTTCTGTGGGCATTTTCCTTTGCACATTTTGGGTTGGACATTTCATTTTGGACATTTTGGGGTATAATCAAGTCAAAGATTTATAATTGTACCAATGATGAACTCAAGTTATATGAGTAATGCCTGGGACAAGAGATGCTGGTGACAGCATGCATGTGTATTCAGCTTTTTATCTTTGCTTACTATTATTTATTTTTCCAGATTGAATATTGCGTTACATTTAAATAGCAGTATCGCAAATTGTATCATTTTTAGTTGTGAGTCAAAGATTTGTAATGGTACCAATTATATTGATGAATTCAAGTTATTATTACTGTAAAGGTTATTTTTTCTATACAAAAGAACATATAATTTACAATTTTGAATGTGATTGTGTTGTACATATAATCAAGAAATTTTAATACTGTGTGTATGCCAATTTAGATATGAAATGAACGACTCAATGAATTTTGTCTTAAAACATTATAAAAATTATTGTTATAAAAAGTAAAAAGATAATTGATATTATCATAGTCAAAAAACTTAGTCTATAGAAAAATATTAATTGAGCATATTGTGGAATATCATCATTCCAAATAACGCATTGGATTTGTCTATCCCCATTAATCAATGTGAACTTCAACAATGTATGATTTTGATTTTGCCTTGGAAATTCACATTAATGACATATATTACAACCAATGAGTTCACTGTGATAGTAATAATAATAAACTATTATAATAATTGAAAATAAATAAACAACGATTAAGGCACATGTGACATGATACATTGATGTTAGACTGCTAGACAAGTAGACTCATTTGAAAGCATTGTGTATTGTGTCTCTCTGTCGTTTGTCGCTGTGTTCATGCTATACGCGATTCTAATACGCGTCCAACGTGCTCAACGTATTATCTTGATTAATTTTCTGTATCAATTTAAATATTTATCAATATGCAGCTTATGCATGTTGCTCTTGAATGATCAGGTAAATATATATATATATATATATATAGAGACAAAAAAGTATTTGATCCACTGATAATGAATTCACAAAATTGACGGATATGGCACTTTTATATCAAAGTACAAAGCACGTGTCATAAAATTACTTTTTAAAATGTTATGATATAAATATTGTCATTGAATACAAATTGAAAGTGTATGAACATCACAGTTATTATAGGTAAATAATGTACATCATATATAAATAAGTATTTAATAACAATAATAAAAATTGTAGGTTATTTTAAATACTTATAGCTAATTCACTGAAAATGTTCAATACAGTAGAATATTAAATTATTAGCTGTACGAAATTTCGTAATACGAAAACAGTTTATTAAAAATAGTTAATTCAATGTCAATATTTGATTTATAGTTTGTTTCTACCTTGAATATATGTTTTTTTAATTAACCAAATAAAGAATAAGTCAATTGTCTTGAATAACATAAAATAATAATGATTTCTTAGATCACCTGATTGAAGAGAAGATATCGACATTCTCCAGTCTTCAATCCAAAAAAAGGAACAGCTCTTTAAACTCAAAAAAGAAGTCTAACGACAACAAAAATATTTTTGAAGCGCAGTCTTTATAATAAATACAAGTACAATCCAAAGTTTTAAGTGTAGTTCATGTTGAGTTTTATTATTAATTTGATTAAAATTTAATTATTATAATTTATTTCATGTTTCAGTGAGTTACTTTGAAGCCTTAGCTGGATAATTATTCATTCACACAACATTCTACTAAGTTTTGTGATTTGTACAGCAATTGTTCTGGTAAATATTTTTTTATATAATCATGATCTATGAAACATCTTCAAATTCCTGGCAAAATTCAAATAATAATGAAACAAAATACTTTCAATACTAATAATGATAATAATAGTTTGGATTCAATTTATATTTAAGCGATGATTGCTTTCTTATGTTTAAAATAGTAGTTGTTTTCTCATTAAAAGTATGACAGTAATAATTTTTCTACGTAATTAGTTTCAGTCATTATTTTTTATTAAATAATACAAATAGACTATATGCCGAATTATTATATTACTTTTACATTTGCATATTAACTGATATATATTATTTATTTTATTATCATTTTTTTATATTTTCAGATTTTCCTCTGTAAATTCATAAAACAATCAGTTTAAAGCAGTCTTGGTTGAGGTTTGGAAATTAAATTTTTTTATCAACTTTCAAGCTTAAAAACTTGCATGGCTCAAATTTTGGTGAATATATATTTTTTAATTCTTTAACGTATTTATACGATATTTTATTGCCTTTAATTTTCATTATTGTACATATTTATTGTTTCAGGTTCTCTATTTGTACATGTGAATTTATCTTGTGATTTCAACGTTGTATAGAATGTACAGTGCCGGTCAGCCACTTTTACCCCCCCGCGGGCAAAATCAGTCTAACTTCAAAGTTTTATATCTCTGGTAGAAATTAACGTACAGAGACGCGCGTGGGTGCGTTTGAAAGGTCTTTCGGAGAGCTTTCAAATGATATGACTCACGGTTGCCATCGATTGTTTTTTTAAATTTTGCAACAATTATGCAAAATTGAAAATTCTGAAATTTTTTTATTATTTTTGAAAATTAGCCAATTTTGGAAAAAAAATCGTACGAAAATTTGAAGTACACCATTTTTTAGCTATTACCAAGCCCTATCTGAATCACTGATCAAAAATTTATTTTCGTCAAATATGACGCGCGCACGGGCATTTTTTCCTGGAAGTGACAGTTTTTTTCAACATTTTTTATCTCCGTCAAATTGTAACAATCGAAAAAAATTTTATAGGAGAAAAAATGTTTGTTTTTTCACGTAGAATACTGCAATAATTTTTTTTTCGGTTTTTCGAAAAATTTTTTTTTTTCGGTTTTTTTCAATTTTTTTTTTCTCACAGTCGGTACGCTAAAAAGATGAGAAACCACAAAAAAAAATTTTTTTCCACCCATTCAATAATACTACATAACAAGTATCGTAAATTACATCAAAAAAAAAAATCTTTTTTTTTCGACCTTGAAAAATAATTTAAACCGAAAAAAAAAATTTTTCGAAAAACCGAAAAGAAAATTATTGCAGTATTCTACGTGAAAAAACAAACATTTTTTCTCCTATAAATTTTTTTCGATTGTTACAATTTGACGGAGATAAAAAATGTTGAAAAAAACTGTCACTTCCAGGAAAAAATGCCCGTGCGCGCGTCATATTTGACGAAAATAAATTTTTGATCAGTGATTCAGATAGGGCTTGGTAATAGCTAAAAAATGGTGTACTTCAAATTTTCGTACGATTTTTTTTCCAAAATTGGCTAATTGTCAAAAATAATAAAAAAATTTCAGAATTTTCAATTTTGCATAATTGATGCAAAATTTAAAAAAACAATCGATGGCAACCGTGAGTCATATTATTTGAAAGCTCTCCGAAAGACCTTTCAAACGCACCCGCGCGCGTCTCTGTACGTTAATTTCTACCAGAGATATAAAACTTTGAAGTTAGACTGATTTTGCCCGTGGGGGGGTAAAAGTGGCTGACCGGCACTGTATAGTAAATCTTAACTTAGTAACTTAAATAATTTTATGTATAATTTACTTGGTTATAATACAAATATATTTTTCCATTTGTCATTTAATATATTTATGTTAACCAAACCCAACCAAACCATACCAAGCCTAAAGCCTTCTAGTTTGGAAAAGTTTGGAAAATTAGAAGCATACAAACTTCTAATTTTCCAAACTATCATTTTTATTTTCATCTTGAAGTTTATAAAATCTTATTTTCTTCTTGATTTCAATAAATGTCTTGTCATAAGTTCAGAAATAACTGGACATTGTAAGATTTTTTTAGTTGACCAATAGTCACGGAGATTCCTTCTCGAATTGAAAATAGTAACCATTATGATAAAAATAAATTTTTCTAGATCATTCATACTTCATTCAAAATTGTTTTCAGTTGTAGCTTCTATAATATGATTTTTCATTGAATTTGAGAAATATACTTCAAATAATTCCAAAGAGTTTTTAGAATACAAAGAGGAAACGGATAGAACGTTGAAGGGATCATCGTTATTCATAGTTGAGGTATTATTCAAATCTAATATTTGCCAATCGTAAACATGATTGGGTTCTAATAGTTCTTGAGTGCTGCTGTATGCGCTTTTTATATGTTCATACGAACCAACAGGAATCAATTCAAATGATATATTTTCGACAACATTGCAATCAGAATTCCCATCTGAGCTTTCGTGATTTCCAGGAATGAACGATATATCGACATGAGCTCAGGAATCATCAATATCATCATCCTCAATAATATTGGTTGAATCTTTAACCATCCACCTTGTCATTTTTGCTTGGTTCAAAAATAGACAGCAATTTACAAGAAATTATAGATTTTCGCTGTAAGTCAGATAGAAATCAAATTTTCGTATCAAGAAATAAACTCAAAATTTTCTGTAAAACCGTTAGCCCGCCACTCAAACGTGATCTCTAACACGGTTTACAAATTTTTACAATGAAAAAAAATTTTTTCCAACTGAACTGAACTCAACTATCTGGTTGAATCACTTGTGACTGTCGGTATCAATTCAATGCATATAAATTCAATCGAATTACATGATCAATGTTTGATAGCTGTTTTTCATGACAAATTGAAGTCCGACAAAAAAATGTTCCATACATTTTTTTCATGTTTTTTCTCGTAGAACCGATTTCCGCAATCAGATTTGGAAAACAATAACTTTTTTGGTAATTTGTTTAAATAACTTTTTATAAACAATTGCAAATGGTAAAAGAAAAAACACAGGTATTTTTTTCGATTTGCCTATAAATCGCATAGTTAGTTTGACGCTATCTCTTCCAGTTTTGGCGTGGGCCTCAATGGGTTAAAATCTAAAATCATATATTATTATACAAAATAATATATAAATCTTAAGGTCTATTTTTGAATCTTTCAATCATATCAATGTTTGATTTTGTAGCCCTAAAGTGGAATAACATACGAGGTGTGTTCAAAAAGTAAGGTGACTTTTCAAATTTCACGGGCAACGTACTTTCGATTATCGATTTTTTTGTTTTGTTATGTTGGTACACTCTTCCCGAACATCTGTATCAAGTTTCAAGTGTATAGCATTTTTTGTTTGGTTGTGAGAGGCGTAAAGGTTATAAGTGTTTTGCGTGCTCGGCGATTTCTTGCTATCGAAAAATATGGATCAAAGGATTTGCATCAAATTTTGTGTAAAAAATAAAATAAAGTGCTCCGAAACACTTGAAATGTTGACGATGGCATACGATGAAACTGTTCTGAGTAAAAAAAATGTTTACAAGTGGTACAAACTCTTCCAAGATGGCCGGGAAGATGCCAATGACGAGCCTCGCTCTGGACGCCCAAGCACGTCAACAACTGATGAAAACGTTCAAGCAGTGAAGAAAATTGTTCTGGAAAATCGTCGAATCACTATCAGAGAAGTTGCTGAGGATGTTGGTATATCGCTTGACTCGTGCCATGAAATTTTTTCTAACGTTTTGGGCATGAGACGAGTGTCAGCGAAGTTTGTTCCGAAATTGCTAAATTTTGACCAAAAGAACCGTCGCATGAGCTTCGCTCAAGAACTGTTGAATGACGTCAACGACGACCCAGATTTACTCAAAAGGGTCATAACTGGTGACGAATCATGGGTATATGGTTATGATATCGAAACCAAAGTCCAATCGTCCCAATGGAAGAGCCCAGATGAGCAAAGACCGAAAAAAGCACGTCAAGTTCGATCAAATGTCAAAGTTTTGCTCACTGTTTTCTTCGATTACCATGGCGTGGTGCATCAGGAGTTCTTACCATATGGACGTACGGTCAATAAACAGTATTATCTTAAAGTTATGCGCTGTTTGCGAGAAGTAACACGAAGAAAACACCCAGAATTGTGGAAGAACAATTCATGGCTTTTGCATCACGATAATGCCCCTGCTCACTCATCTTTGCTTGTGAGAGATTTTTTGGCCAAAAACAACACCACAATCATGCCTCAGCCACCATATTCACCGGATTTGGCCACATGTGACTTTTTCTTGTTCCCAAAACTAAAGAGACCTATGAAAGGACGGAGATTTGCAACGATTGAAGAGATAAAGACTGCATCACTGGAAGAGCTCAAGGCTATACCGAAAAGTGCTTATGAGAAGTGCTTTGAGGATTGGAAAAACCGTTGGCATAAGTGTATTGTATCTGAGAGGGATTACTTTGAAGGGGACAACATAAATATTGATAAATTTTTCTTAAAAATACAAAGTCACCTTACTTTTTGAACACACCTCGTATATCCATACTGGGTTACGTATTCTCCGCTATATTGATAGTTTATTTGCAATTGACAGTTTAGATTTTCTGCCTAATAACCTCTAGTATATTCTGAGTTGTAGATTTAGTTGTTTGCATTTGGTCCATATGTGGTCTCTCTACGTAAGGCGATGATTCAATATACGACATAATTTTATAAAAAAGAAATATATCATTCATAAGAGACAGTGTGGTTTAAAATATTGATATGAAAGACAGTCTCAAAAGATTAATTGACATCGTGAATGGTAATTAGATGATAGTAGACCTAGGATTGTAACCTTTTTAGAGGTAACAATGGTATACATTGATACCGTAAATCATGATATTATATATATATAATATTACAAAAGAAACTATACAGCGTAACGATCTATATTGGCTATTATCTCACCGAAGTAGAAAAACTTAATAATTGAAGTTGAGCACCAGAAACTGATTAATTTAGTTCGCGGTATATAATTCTGCGAAATTGGAGCAATACTTCTCTGATTTCCAAAGCGAGTAATTAAATTGGTGTCGGTTCTATGGTAGATAACTCCTTGGTCGGTCACGATAAAGTAATTAAGAAAGGGAAAATAAAGATAGACAAGGGTAGAGCAAAATTACGGCAGTCAAGTAAGATTATTAAGTAATTGGACGAAACAACTCAAACTTAATATTATTTTGTAACTTTAAATAACGCAACGAGATATTTCTGCAGAATAAATGCGCGTTTGGGAAGCTACGAATAATTACAGACATTTATGAGTCTGAGAAGTTACTTCTGCACTTTTCTATATAGTAACTGAATATTACAGCCGACAAAGTTAGTCTGATTTGGTTAAAAAAAGATCTAATACTAATTCCTGCAACAGTCAAGGCAAATTAACCTAAACAAACGAACTACCGGGTATCATAAAGCAGAGTGCAACTCAAACCGTAACACGAAGACTAAACAACACTTACAATCGCTCGTGTCCCAAGTGACTGGACCGCTCAACAGCTGAGTTAATAACGCGGCACGGACAAAGGCAACCATCGTCAACCGCGACTAGAAACTCTCTTCCATGTCGCCTTGTTCTTCCTGAAATTTTGATTGCCCCTCATTTTCTCCTAGATTTTCATGGATTGGAATG